TTTAAAACACTAGTATTTAAACTTAATTAAAAAGAGTAAATCTTGAAAAATTTAACATACTGAACCACGGAGCTTAAATGCAACATTCCAGCCATCTACTGCCTAAAGCCTACAGGTTGCAACAATTGTCACAGTAAGTCAGGAACCTGCACAATACAATTGTCACAGTAAGTCAGCCATCTACTGAGAAGTGGTACAGAGCAAGAAGATAGACTGTATACAAATTATTAATTAAACTTTGGTAACTTGATAGCTTTGCACGGGTTAATTACACAAAACCGTCATAGGTTTTGTAAAAGAGTTATTCACATTAACCCCTTGAGGTATTAAATTCTCCTACTATTAAATTTTAGTTATTAAATTAAACAATAAAATGGTAACTTAATAATATTTATTAACTCAAAATAGTAAAAATTTAAATAGCTCGTCAACTGTTCATTAACACTAAGAAAATTTTTGTTATTTCAAAAATCTCAAAAAAAAATTTGTTATCTTATCATACTTTAGAGGATCTATGTCTAACTAAAGCAATACAAAATATCAGTGGGTTTGAAAAATTGAACCCTAATCCCTATTCAGTCCAAATCGATTAATAAATTTCAAATAAAATATGAAATAAAGTTGAAATAGACATGTCGAAGTTAGATTGGACCTCTTGCAAAAGGCTGAATTCGACCTTCCCATAACCATGAGAGCCAGATCTAGCCTCATCTCTAGACATCCATTAATGTTAATGGAAAAAAAAACTTAGGGCATGAGGGTTAAATCTGCATTTCCAGAATTAGCATTTTGATTGGCAAAACATGTGATGGTTGAAATTTACTGGGCATTGCAAGAGTATATCATGGAAAATTTACTGTTCCTGATCATATATATATATATATATATATAGCTTTGGCAATTTCATTTGGAAAGCCCTCCTCATCTCTATAACTAATTATATGAAAGCATTTTTAATGACACGGCTCTATGATATATGACAATTTTCCCAAACAATACATTGCTCTGCCAAAACTATAAATCCCATGTGATGTGTTATCACATGTGACATTGATATGTAAATTAAGTTATGATGCATTGATGAATGTCAATACTCATATCATGGTAAATTATTAGGATGTGAAATTTGGGATATTAGTCGGAGATGAGTAGTACTCTTTTCTCAAATGTTAATAGAAATTCTTTAATGCACTAACATTGATTGAATGATCATAAATAGTACTCTCCAGCAAAGACACTATGATGCTAAGTATGAAATCGAAATTCTGATTTTATTTATGTTTGATTAGGAAAATTTAATTACCTTTTTTCATATAAAATTTGAATAATATTACACTTTCTAAATGAAATCCCAAATGTTGACCACTTTGTTAGAGTTGTGGAATATTTCAACATTAATGGGCCACACAGACGTATTGGGGATCCGTTAACCGTCAATGTGGGAGCTCCGCTCCCGGTGAGTGGGCTTTTTCTATATGTAACCTAAAGGATTTTTTAATTATTAATTCTTATTGTGTTTGACTTAGAATAAGAATCTTGTCTACTAGATTTAGTCTTTTAATTAGTATATAAATACATTTTCTCTATAATGAGTGATAACAATTTAGGGCAAATTACTTCACTAAACGAGAGAGGTGAGTGGTATTGAAATAATATTTACTCTCTGGACGTAGCCTGTTAATTGGGTGAACAGGTAAATTGCGGTATCTCCTCTTTTGTTTTACTATTGTTTTTGTATGTTTTTTTCTGTTATTTTGGTTTCGCATCTCTCTATTTCGTCCATACTCACCACTAAGCTATTAAGGAATAGCTTTCCTATCCTAAATGATGGATCGTCTTATGTGACTTTAATGTGTAAATTAAGAGTTGACTGAAATATCATGAAAAAATTCGGATTCCATTGGAAAGTGTAGTATTAGTCGACAAAATTAAGTTAGATGTTCTTCTTCCATAATAATCCCTTCGCAGTTTCAGTACCTAACATTTAATCTTTTAATAAAATGATAACTGAATATCACATTAATAGTACCATTATCCAATGAATTTATGTTATTCATATTTTTTTGTTTTTTGTTTTTGTTTCTCTCATTGTTTTTTACATTAAATCTGATTTTTAATTCTTAAATACAATAATTACTTGACATACATGTATTGACTTATGGTACCACATTTTCACAACTTCTTTTACCAGTTGCAAAAAAATGATATGAAGAAAATTAACCGACATGGGTACATGAACTTTTACTTTGGATTTATTGAACATATACTTTGAAAATTTGTATTACAGAATAAGAACCATCAATGATTCAATCTATATTGTTAGGAATGAACTATTATAATTTTTTTTTTCTGTATCTTGACAACTCACTTAAATATAATTTGTCTGACACTATACGCTAAAAATAATATCTCATCATCACCTACCAACTTAGACATTTAAAAAATAGAATTGAAATTGTCAAAATATATATTTCCAAACTTTGTAAATAGTATATTCCATTTTGAATTTAATAATCAAAACCAATAGTTGAGATCCTATGGTACAGCGGTAATATTCTCTCAACTGAGTGGGTATCACTAAATCAAAACTTCCCATATATATATATATATATATATATATATATCAGTAAAGACAAGTAAATAAACTTGGAAAGTAAACGAAACACATGCATGCAGAATATGCTATCTTATCATGATGTTCTTTTGAAAAACGATGATTCGATATTGATTCATTCATATTTAAAATAAATAAATAAATAGTAAGTGGGATTTAATTCTTTGAAGTAGTGGAAACTCTGTGGAAAGGGTGAGTAAAATCTTGGTATAACCAATAAAGTTTATAAACAATTTTCTACCTTTTGTTATTGTTTTGTCTTGTTTTTCACTTCTCTAATGGAATTTTAGATGGGGTTGATGATTGACAGTTGCAACTTCTTTCAACAAACTAGATAGAAAGAGAAGAGAACTCACTATTCAGCCTTTTTATGTTAGGGTTGCGTGCGCACGCCTCAATTTCCTATTTTGGAAACCTTAATGAAACAAATATATAAATAAAATAAAAACCACTTTTGTGAATAGTAAATGAAGTTGCAAACCCCACTTGCATACATGGAGTTGTATAGATATTAGAGAATGCAAATGCTCATTTAAGCTTTTGAGTTTAATGTCTCATATTTTGCACATCAATCTACTGTAATTGAATCCACATAACAGGTGAGAAAGCTATTAGAGTGTAAAATCCCTACTTACTAATTTAACTTTTGAGTCAAATTTTAGTACTTCACATTTTCATTGAGTCTTGGTAAGAATAGGTCCTTTCGTAGAGTATCTAACCCAACTAACGTCAATGTCATGTCTTTTCGGAAAACTAAATGATGTAATTGCATGTGTGTATGCTTCCACGTTGAAATCAAAAGTTGCACAGGCAGCCGTTGAAATCAAAAGTTGCAAATGTAGTGATAACTTTTTAAAGATTCTCTACTATTTATATGACGAGATAAATATTCCCTGTATCAATTTAACAAAGCGTTTTCTATCTAGTGCCATATATTTAATTAATCAACCCTTAATGGTGGCAATAGTTTCATGGCCACAAGGGAATTCAACCTTTAATCAAATCTAAAATCTTATGTATATTTTGATAACCAATTTGACATAAGCTTTATGATGATTGATGTCACTTGTAACTGTTAGACAATTGTTTAAATCCCTTAATCTATTCAATTAAAAAATTTATATCAGCCATGTTTTTTTATGAGCTAACAGTTTTAAATTTTAAATTCACTAAAGATCGGGCCTAGGAGATGATTACAAAACAGCTGAGCACTGGCTAATAATTATAAAAACGAAATAAACAATTGTCAGGTCAATTTAGAACTTAATAACAAACAAAATGACTAGAAAAATGTAACCCTTTCAGAAAGGAAAAGTCATCCATTAATTATTATTAAGGTCAATACTCCAATTTAATAAACTCAAAAAAAAAAAAAAAAAAAAAATATCATCTATTGTAATTACCACACATCCAAAGGCAATAAATTTGACATAAATGGTAACAATCAAAGCTTCAACCCATTTTATTAACCAAATCAAATAAAAATGAAACTTTTATAGCTGGCTAAACTCAACTTAGTAAAGTTTAAGTTACAGGAAAATACTATTAACTTTTTCAAAAATCGATAAAAACCTCAGCAAAGATTCATCCAAAACTTACTTCAAATTCTGTAAGAGCCCCCCCTAAAAAGAAGATTATCAATATAAAAACAAAATTAATGAGGTTTACTTAGGTTTTTCAACCAAAAAAAAAAAAAAAAGAATAAAATTATAAAGACATATTTAACCTTTTTTCAGGGATGATAGGGTTTATTGGGGGCTCTAGTTTCGAACCAAAGAAAGAGATTTCTGAATTATTAAAAAAATTATAGGAATATTAACGTTGAGTAGAAAGTGAGTAATTACTTGCTTGGAGCAAACTGTTTGTATTGTTAAGAGTTTTAATTTAAAAAAAAAAAAAAGAAATCACACATGGCGAGTGCGCAAATTCATAGTTGCCAGATAGAGTAAATTAATTTGTCAATTGTAGAAAGACTCAGAGAGTTTTTCTCTTTCTCCAAGAGCCCCGAAAGAAACCGCTCTTGGTTTTGCAATAGCACGTGTCAGTGATCTATTTGATACACAATGTCATAAATTCCACTATTTCCACACTCACCCCACGATTCTTGGGCCTCTCTGAGAGTCCTAGGAGCCAAATCGCCCCAACATCCGAGTAGGAAATTCGAACACTCGCTGTGTCATGCCGACACTTGTCCATAACAATCTTTTCTCGTAACTTTAGGTTCTGTTCTGATCCTCTAACGGAGGTCAACACATGTTAGTTTGATTCACCCTGACAATTGTCTCTTTCTCCAAGAGAATACCCAGATTTTTTATTGCAATCGCGACTACACTTAGAAATATGCTTTAAGAAAACCACCAAGCTGTTTTGGTGTACTCAGAAGCGCTCCATGTTTCCTTAAATAAGAGGTTGTACTCCCTAAAATCACTTCCAGCTTTCCATAATAGACATCTCTACAAAAGAATTTATAGCTTTTTTCTCTCTTCTCCCTTTCTCCTCCTCATTATAGATCAAAACAAGTAAGTTCTATTTATAGTTTGCTTTTTATTCTTGTTTTTTTCATGTTCTATATCACTATACATGTGTGTTTGAAAGAATCTTGCCATCGGGTTGATCTCAATCTGTGTTGTAATTATTGTCTCATGCTTCATCTGGGTTTGCTTCATTCTCGCGATGATCTTAATTTGATCTTAATTCGTTTCAAGTTTGGAATTATTATTCTCCTTTGTCTTGATTATTATAATAGTTCTTCCTTTTATGTGTGTGATCTTCTAACTGACCAGCTCAAATCTGCTGATCTAGGAGAAACTAAGAGCGGAGGAACCCTAGGACGGTTGAAGAAGATAGAAGATGGGAAGGGGAAAGATTGTGATCCGGAGGATTGACAATTCGACCAGTAGGCAAGTGACTTTCTCGAAAAGAAGAAACGGGTTGCTGAAGAAAGCGAGAGAGCTATCGATTCTTTGTGATGCAGAAGTGGGGCTAATTATCTTCTCCAGCACCAGCAAGCTCTATGAATATTCAAGCACTAGGTTAGATATCTCTCTCTTTCCCTCTCCCTCTTCCAGTTATTGCATATCATCCATCTGGTTTAAAGTTATTCTGGTTTTCTTGAATATATATACAGATTCACTTGCTCTTTCTCTCTATTTATTATGCCTTTATTGCTTTCCTTTTCTTTTTCTTCAACTTTTGACTGAGATTTGAAGTGAGATACTTGTATTAATAGGATTCAAGTTAGTGTCGGTGTTGCATCAAGGTTACATAAAATATGGTTGCCACCTTGGATTCTTAGAAAATATATGGTTTGCTTCTTGAAGGGTCAGAGGACTGAAGTTGCTCATGCTGCAGATGTCATTACTTTTTATAGACTAGGTTTTCTCTATGCTATCAACAGATTTAAAGGATGATTCCATCTCTAGCTTGATAGTTTAATACATACACCTTTTCTTGGATGTGTATAACTTTAAAGTTAATTATCTATATTAATCCAAAGTATATACGGTCAGAGTGGTGGAGGTTATAAAATGTGAGTGGTTTGCACCATTCAACTAGGTAAAGGAAACGAATAATTAGACTGCTGATTGGAGATTATTGCCTCGAAGATTGAATCATGTATATTGTATTTTTGGAAGAAAATAGAAAAGAAATGATTCTCCTTTTGATACTTTTATTCTACATAACGCTCATTCTTTCAGAAATAATACAAGCCAAACAAAAATAAGCGTGAGAACGTTTTACCAGCATTTGAGTACGACTTTGAATGTTGAAGGCATCTGCGAAACTGATGTTGAATAAAGAAGAAATGAGCGTTATGCAAAATAAGAAGTGATTCTAGTTTTGATCTTCTTTATTCAACTTCAGTTTGGCATAAGCCTTGAATATTCAAAGTCGTACTCAAGTGCTTGTAAAACGCTCTCTCTTTTTCTCAATAAACGGGGGGAAACACTTTGCACGGATGAGGGGATCTTTCACAAAACTTTCCCAGAAGAGTATTCCATGAACTTGTGTGGCTTTTTTAGGAGTTTCAGAGTATTGCAATGACGGATTTGCATAGAGTCTTGCCTGTCTTTGCTCTTCAGTGCGTTTTGTTCTTGGGAATGGCCTTGAACTTGTGTGGCACTTTTAGTAGTTTCAGAAGTACCAAGGCTTTTTCTATTTGAGCCGTTTATTCTCTGTCTTCTGAGTATTGCCGTACATGTATATATATAGTAATATAGATATATGGTTAAATCTTTGTTTTATTTTCTATCTACTTCTAGATGGTACAACATTGATATATATACAAGTTTTAGAAAAGAAAACAATAGAATTTCCTTGGTCCCCAAAAGCTTTCACACTTCCATGCATTATTTAGGCAAACCTGCACGAACGTTTATGTGGTTGTCACATGAAACTCGTAAAAGTTTGGACCAGTGTTTCTCTAACCTTGAACTTGTAAGAGAGGATTTGAGTAGGCAAGTAAACCTAATTTTCATATTCTTACAAGGATTTAGTTCTTCCATTTACTTAGATTCGAGTACTTAATAATATATAGTGACTCTAAATCTGATATTTTATTCGTGTTAAGGGTTTATCTATGTATAGCCCTTTTTAGATATATTTTGCAAGACATGTATGCTAGATGAGGAAATTAGAAGCTAAAGAAACACATTTGTGTGGCATATATGTTGGTTTAAAGTATGAGTAATATTATATATATAAAATGTGTAAACAAAGATTTTCATACAAATTGACTGTCATTACTCTTATATTGTCATGTCATTCAACTTTTATATTGCATATTTATTGCGTTAACTTTTCTTGTGAATTCATCCCATTACTTTGTATGTAAATCTTGGGATACAAACTTTCTATGTGATGCCTTACTCTTAAAATAGTTGTATGTTCTATGGTCGGTTGCGTGTGATTATTTCATACTGTGATCACATCAAAGCCCCTAAGTTTTAAATCTTTTTCTCCTATAGGAATATATAATCTGTATTTTATTCAACTTAAAGCTCTTTTCTAATTATTTAATAGACTAGGGTTGTCTTCTTATATGAGCTTTTTACATAAATAAATAAAATCTTGTGATTGGTAATTACGAAATAAGAATATAATAGACAAGTAAATCTCAACCATTAATAAGTGAAAATGCACACGTGTTATCAAATCTTGAAAGTTAAAGAAAACTCACATAAGGAGAGGATATTGATACTTAATTAATTCGACTAATCACGAGATTATATAATATTATACCTTCCATTTTTGTAAACATTATATATAATCTTATAAAAATTTCCCTAAAATATAATAGAGATTATCTTCTTTAGGGGATCCAAAAAAATAAATTAAAATAATTATAGACAGAAAGTCTATAGTATCAACACTATACCAACATTAGTGGTATCATGCCAATAGATGCATATCATATTGATATAAGATAGATAAATTTTTTTATAGATGGCATAAATATATTGGTTTATGGTATAATTATCTAATAACTCCATAACATTCTAATTTATTTTTTATTATACATCACACAAGTTTGTATTTCAAGTCTGTGTTACTCCTGATAAGTTATCAATTAAATTATCACTTCAATAATGAAATAGTATGATGATTAATATTATGAATTTGTGTCATATCCTATACAATAAAGATTAAATAAATGTTATATTACATAGTAAATTATAAAATTATTATTATATAATACGAATCATTTGTGTAATTCAAATTCTATAATGTTTTTGAAAGAGTTTTGATTTTTATGAATGTCTCAAATCGCTCAAAACACCAAGCATCATGCTTAAACACTGGCACATGACCTGAAATTTGAGGAACCCTACACATCTGCCACTGAATTATGAAATAAGAAACAAGATGCATGTTGCATTGTTCTATATATATTGTTAAAAGGCTTTTGAGTGCATCCCTCTCGGCTCTCACTTGGTTATGGCCAATCTTTCCTCAAAAGATACAATAGATATACGTTTAGTCACCTTATTATTGTTTGCATGGGGATCGACTCCTCGTTTTCCTCCAAAACAGGACAATTCACATACCAAAAATAAGAATTTCTGCACTCAGTGGTTAGATTTGGTCTGTCCAAAATCATTACAGATAAATAGTGAACCTTTATCATGAAAAATTTCTTAGATATGGTGATAGCACATTATATATTCATTTATTCTGGTTAAGCGATACAAAAAAACCTCTCAAGATTAATATGTAGAACACCCTCCGTTCCTTCATCACCCAGTAATTCTTGGAAATTAAATAAATTTTTTTTTTTTTAATTCCACCTGGTACATTTTAATGGTTTTCAGTTGAAATTTGTTATCAATCCATCATTTCAGTCGCTTAATTTTCTACTTTTTAATGGTTTTCTGGATTTTGCAAAATATTCTTTGAAAATTTGTTCTTAAGTCAATCTTCTTAGTTTGCGTACTTAAAAATCTGGGTTGTATTATTTACCAGCATATTTTCATTTAATGTATTCTTAGTTAACTCCAAAACAAAGTCAAAAGTGTTTAATAAAAGTAATTGGAACACTTTTCTCAAACTAGCAAGTAGTTTTTCTTTTAATATTAATTATTATCATAGCTGGAAGAAACTTTCATTGACTGAAATACTTACAATATCTAAGGTGTGACTTCTAGCAATACATGTTAATATTTACGTTGTTGAACCATTTTGTAGTGAATTAAGGGGGTATGAATTTTTTTTTCTTTTCCCCCCATAAGTTCACTAATTTAAAGGAAACCCTACCCTATATATCTTGGTGCATGAAGGAGATGATTGTAAGATCCGTTTAATTTACAACTTTAAATGAAATCCTCGAACTCTTGAATCCAACTTTTTATGTTGTTTGCATGAAAGATCTCTGCTTATATTTTCTGTTAGACCCCATAGTTTTTACTATTTAGCTAATCAATCGCTGTAAACAAACAAAAATGTCCATGCTTGCATTTTCTTCTTCAACTCTTCATAAAGCACCATATAGAACGGCTTTCTTACATCTTTTTTATTAACACTGTGTGCTTAAGGACACTCCATGTGTTCTTCTGGCATGTTTCCATGCAGCATATCGAATGAGTTGTGTAATGTAGTTCAAGCGTATCTTCGTCAAGATATGTCATTTCTTGCTTGGTTGACAGGTTTTCAAAAGACTTTTCAAAATTGCTCATTTAGGCTAATTTCCAAAAACCACAAAGCATATGTAACAATGATATGTCGAGTCTGTTAACCGGGCAGCTAATTTCGATGGACTTCCTTGAGGCAAGCAGGTGGCGTCGAAGAACCTCCATAGCCCGGCGCAATCTGTGTCCGGTAGGAAACAGTACACCAACTAGGATGCTTGTTAGTATTTTGTTTGAATTATAACACCGGTTCCCGTAGTTGGAAACGTGGGCGTCGGAGCAGTTTTAATTTCTGATGGTGCTAGTATAGAACATGCATGCATCAATAACACCACAAGTAGAAAACTCTTTGATTTCAATTTTGGTGTTGATATAAAAAGAACAAAAGTTGCACCACACGGAATATAACTTGTATGATGAACTCAGTGGGGATTGTTCATCCATTCTAATATGATCATACTTGCTTGTTCATCTATTTTCATAATGTTGATACCTTCTAGTTCAAGTTATCCATTCTAGTTTGCTCAGACCTTGGCCTAGTCATTATACTTACAACCTACTCATGACCTAGCTTGGTCATCTAGTTATTTTGTTCATAACCAATGTGATCTACTCATAGCTAGTCATCCATTTTAATTTCCTCAGACCTCGATTAACTATTTTGACCTAATAATACCTTATATGTTCTTCCATTTTGACTTATATACACTGAGTATTATACAATGCACAATATATGATCTAAAATGTGTTGACAAGGTGATCATAAAACTCTTTTACGCTCAAATCAATACGATGTTTTTCATGAACTTGTAGAGAAAATAGTGTTAAAAAATACTGGAATCAAAGGAAAAATCAGTATGTCTTAGGATGCATAATTATTTCTCTTTCTAGGAAGAAAAGAATATTCTCTCAAGAAGTAAGAGAAAAGTTTAGAGAGAGAGAAAGCCCTTTTTCCATAACGAGGTTGTTCTTTATGTGACCAAGAGTAGATAGACTATCTTATACATGTGGCAAATATGTAGATATATTGCAAATGTGGCAGCATGCATAAAAGTAAATTGGTTGTCGCTATGCTTGGCATTGATTTTTATACCCCAATAATGTTCTCAGTATTATTACTATTATTGCACCGCTTATGCAATTTTTGTCTTATGTGAGATATATCAATTATGATATGTGTCGTCATTGTTAAGTTATCACTTAACATCTATTATTACTATTATTGTATCACTTATTGATTGCATTTTATGTGACTTTATGCAAGGTATACCACTAGGGTGAAATCCTCTTAAGAGATAAACTCACCATCTAACTTTGATGATAAGTTGAGATTGTCCAATGGTATAAATATATGTATTGTCATTGTCTTACCATTCTACCTAAAAGCTTAAGCTAATAGGTATAAGTTTAATATTTTGTTGATATCTTCAAACTCACATGAAACTTTTTTTTTTTTTTTTGTTGTCTAATTGAAATGTAGGGATTTGGACTTGTGTGACCTTTGATATCAAGTTAAGTGTATATATATTGCCACTTATACAAACTAACTGCAACTATCAGCCTTACTAACTTCCTAATAACAGTCAACTAACTTGGCATGTATTTAGTTTCAAAGTAACTAACTTAACAACTAATTCAATACTTCATTTTTCGACACGACTCAACAAGAAGGGTTCATGTTTGATTTCAAAAGATTTGCTTTATCATGTCTAACCTCGAAAGTCTTTGCATGTCTGTCTAACTTGGAGGTCTTTCCTAGAGGATCTCTTCTAAGTGGCTGTGCATGGCGGTCTCCTTGAATAGTGTTTAGGGTCTCCTGAAACAGTGTTTACTTAAGCATCACTGACCCCCCATAGAAATTGCTACTCGAATGTGTTTCTCCAAAGGTATTCACATGATTAACTCTCCTGGGCTTGGCCTCATCATCTTTATCTGTTTTGTTTCGCTCTTACTTTGTCTAGTAATCTGTTTGGGCTAGCTCGGAGTCATACCTGATCCAGTGTCACGGACTTGGATAAGCTAAAAATTTTGGTCTTTTCAAGTCCAAGTCTGAAGAATGACCTGCTCTTGCCCGGGCCTGGTCATCCATTTTGACCCACCCATGGATCATCTAACCATCCATTTCGATGTGCTAAAGACCATGGTCTGGTTATATACTATAACGTATTTGCCTAGTCGTCTATTTGATCTCTCCTTACTTGGTCATTCATTTGACATGCTCATACTTGGTTTGGTCATGACTTCACCTCAAACAATAGTCATGGTCAAAGGATGCTATTCAGATGGTCAACCATGACTCTCCAGTCAGCAAATAGGGTTGAAGGTAGAGAAACAATAGAAAGAGAATTTAGATATAGATAGACAAAAGCCTCTTACTAGATGGTCCTCAATTTTCAGATGCCAAAACACTAGACAGAGTTCTTGCTTTTCATAACATTGAATAGTTTGGTAAACTTAAAGGCAACAAGTATATAATTATGGTTCAATTAAGTCACAACTTTTTTTATTATATGAATTTTGATTTTCTCTTCTTACTATTTATTTTTTAGGACAAATTTCCGACTATATTCAATACCTTGAGAGAGAAATTAAATTTTATCTTGTACCTTCTGAACTTTCTCTTAAAATAATTTTGTTGTTCATACTGGTTTATAGAATAATGTTACACGTCCAAAACAATCGAAATTCTGATTATAGGCTGATGGTCATACTATTTAACATTGTCTTGTCATAGCATTTGTCACATTATCTCTTCGTTTATTGTTAATACTATATAGACTCTTACATTCACATAAATATTAAACTGTCATATTGATTTTATAAATAATTTGATTCTTAACATGTTACTAAACTATATGACTGTATGAGATGGCTGCTGTATGACACTGTTTCAACTTTTCCAAAGGTTTTCTTGTATAGAACGAAGGTGCTCAATGAGTCATATAATTACAATATTGTTTTGCTTTTGCACAAGTTCTTTACTCTGTCATAGCACTGGTGATTATTTGCAAAAGTAGTTTATAGTAATGTTTAAAGTCGTTTTGGCAGCATGACATCTGTTATTGAACGCTACAGCAAACTAAAACAGGAACAAAATCAGCTGCTCAACCCTGCTTCAGAAGTCAAGGTACGTGTTTGCCAACTAATATAAGATTGACATCTTAATTCCAGAATAGAAGCTAATCCCCTAAATAGAAAAAGGAACAAAATTATGACTTTCTAGCATCACCCAAAATGTTAAAATCTCGAGCTTCTATTCATTGGATTCAATATCATTTTGATCATATACAACCTGGCTGAACTTCATCAAGCCATACTATCATGCGATGTGATCTAATTTTTCATATGGTATAAACAAAAAGATGCCACAAAGAGATAGCTCTGAAGTACAAAAAATGAACAATTTACCTAAGAAAAATTTTTTTAATAGAAGTTTGCCTATATTTGCCATGCTATGATTACAGCCCATGCAATGCAGTTGTAGTTCTTGCTGTGCCTAGGAACTTCAAAATAAATGAACTTCTATTTTCTACCTCAACTTATTTTTTGTTTGAGATGCAGTGATTAGTACTAGAAATAGAAGATCGTTAGTCTGCTAATGCACAGGCAGTAGTTTAGTCACAATACAAAATTTGCTACAATGCAAAAGAATTCCTTTGTTGATGTTGAACTTTCAAGGCATCATAGCAATTCAAGCAAATATGGCGCTCAATGAGGGATTGAGTGTTCCCATCTGTAGAACCTATCCCTATCATTAACTTCATCTTTCAAGAGATTTTCATCTACTTCTTTACAGTTTGCAACCACTTTATTATTATAAGTCTGATATCTAAAAGGGGAAAAAGTGGTACACAAGAAATGCAAAAGAAACTTACCGGCAAAATTTGAAATAGAAGTTTGCAACCAGCTGCTGTAACTTTCAGTAGCATATTCATGAGGGCCTCATAGAACAGTATTTTGCCACAGCACCCTAACTTGCTCAACTAACCCTCAAGTTTTGAAGCATGGATTGGATCCCACGCCTTGCTATACCCAATCCCTTCAGCACCATAACCATCTTGGTTTTTCTACCACTTGATGTCTTTATTTTTTCTCCTTCCAGTCGTCTATGTCTATCTTGACCTTGGTCCTTAGAAAATGAAGAAAATTTTCTAAGTTCACGAACTCTTAACTTAAACAATAATAAAGTAGGAAAAATACAGAAATTTGGTCTCATTTGTGAGGCAAAGTTAGTTTCAGACATAATCACAGTTTCAAACATAATAAAGTTTAATACTCCCCCAATCCAAATGTAAAGGCATCAAAGATGGGATCATCTTCTACTGAAGACTTTGATAGAACAGTAAATCTCTTTCAGGATATGAATCAGTTGATGACCATATGGAGTCAATTGAACATTTGGACATCACATATTAAGCAATGGCTGTCATAACTCGTAAGCATGTTTTCTAGGTTTATAATCCACTTAGGTCTTGATTGAAAATTGTTGAAGCTGAAGAAGCGTAATACTAAGCTTCAGAGTTGAGCAGCAACTGCTGTAAGGATATCCCCAAGCTCATGGAAGAAAAGCAGCAGTACCTGACTTCTATACAAAAAGAACTGGAAGATAGCCTAAATCCTCTCTTGGAAATGGACGGTACACCAGTATAGCAGAATATAGATTATTAGCAAGAATTGGAGAGAGCATTTTGTGCCAGGCCTTGGAGGAGGTAAAGAGGCTTAATTGGGACAGTATCAAACTATCAGCTTTTTCCCGGATTCAGTACAAGTCTGAGACAAAGGAAGAAGATACAGAGTCTACATACAGCTGATGGTCATTGAGTTGAGATCCAATAATAATAAGAATCTCTGCCCTTCCTTCAAAATTTTCAGGACATGTACAACAACCGCTCAGAGAACAGATGAACATATATATATATAATACAAACCGCATGAGTCATTAAAATAGAGAGACAACAGATATTTTGGTAGTCAAAAGAAGCCCAATGACCAGAAATAAAACTTCCCACAACTTTCACAACCAAAATCTTGATGCCTGTAAAACATACACAACATGCCAAATGCAATGCAATCCCAGAAGTGAATAGTTTGCAAACCCATAATTTTCCNTTAGTTTCAGACATAACCACAGTTTCAAACATCATAAAGTTTAATACTCCCTCAATCCAAATGTAAAGGCATCAAAGATGGGATCATCTTCTACTGAAGACATTGATAGAACAGTAAATCTCTTTCAGGATATGAATCAGTTGATGACCATATGAAGTCAATTGAACATTTGGACATCACATATTAAGCAATGGCTGTCATAACTCGTAAGCATGTTTTCTAGGTTTATAATCCACTTAGGTCTTGATTGAAAATTGTTGAAGCTGAAGAAGCGTAATACTAAGCTTCAGAGTTGAGCAGCAACTGCTGTAAGGATATCCCCAAGCTCATGGAAGAAAAGCAGCAGTACCTGACTTCTACACAAAAAGAACTGGAAGACAGCCTAAATCCTCTCTTGGAAATGGAGGGTACACCAGTATAGCAGAATATAGATTATTAGCAAGAATTGGAGAGAGCATTTTGTGCCAGGCCTTGGAGGAGGTAAAGAGGCTTAATTGGGACAGTATCAAACTATCAGCTTTTTCCCGGATTCAGTACAAGTCTGAGACAAAGGAAGAAGATACAGAGTCTACATACAGCTGATGGTCATTGAGTTGAGATCCAATAATAATAAGAATCTCTGCCCTTCCTTCAAAATTTTCAGGACATGTACAACAACCGCTCAGAGAACAGATGAACATATATATATATAATACAAACCGCATGAGTCATTAAAATAGAGAGACAACAGATATTTTGGTAGTCAAAAGAAGCCCAATGACCAGAAATAAAACTTCCCGCAACTTTCACAACCAAAATCTTGATGCCTGTAAAACATACACAACATGCCAAATGCAATGCAATCCCAGAAGTGAATAGTTTGCAAACCCATAATTTTCCTACTGTAATGAAGTCCAACCAACAACAAAACATTGACAACTGTGTATGACTTGTCAGCAAATTATAAGAGCCTGAAAGAACTGTATCCTGTAACCCCTCAGGGTATCTCAGATAGAAGATACCAGTAGAAATCAAGTTACATTAACAAGATACAATTCCTTCATCATCAAAATGTTTCATAAATAATATATTTTAAAGAAAATGTCATTCATTGAACACAAGGAACAACCATTTGGATTTATAAAACCATTGTGCTGAAAGTAGACAATGCATTTTTCTCCAAGCCAACAATAAACTAGTTGGGAAGTAAACAATGTAGTGGTTATGAGACCACCCACCAACTGTTGCTTAGGAGGTCCACAATTCAACATGCTTTCTGGATTGCATCCTCCAAAAAAGTTTGGCCTTTACACTGCCAAATGCAGGATATCTGCAAACAACAAAGGACTTGTGTTCATAGCTTTCTAAATAAGCAGCCCTTGAGATGGCATTTCGATAATTGAAATGTCATCTCGAGTATGTGACAATCCCAAGTCATTATCAAATCCCCCTACCTAAAGTAGACAACATTCACTCATGATTGCTTTGATCCATTCTGCAGGTTCTCTCTGTTTGGTCCATTGCAACTACTTGCCAACTGCCACTTCCTACAATCATGTAGAAGGTTAGAAGTCACCATCAGCCCTTGGACCTAGCTCTATCACTAGACATCTATTCGACCATCAATGACCTCATGTAGGTCAGTATGTGACTACTCGGGGCATTAATAATTTTCCCCTAATTACATATCGATTTCTACTCAATATGTCAACAGTTTTATTCTAATCAAAACAGAAATCTTAAGCTTGTCAGAACTATAGAACTGTTAGTTGCATCATTAAGGCTCACCAGTAATATTTAAACTCTAATATCACCTCTTCACTTGCATTGCTGAACTTGGTTTCCAAATTTGTGACATGGATCTAAACTTCCACATGTTGATCCAGACATAAGCCTTACTTGCATGCAATAATTTAACTAATTTATCACAATATACCAAGAAACACAAAGATCAAAAAACCCCTAGATCCATAAGCAACCATCTCAGAATATACTAATGTTCTTGTTGTAGCAGCCATATCTAAAAACCCAACCTCTGTTAATAGAGCAAAGAATTATAAGCGTCTTGTTTCTCCAAGAGATAAAGAAGGGAGTGGGTTTACAACCATCGTATCACCTACCTAGAGCACATAAGAAAAAGCTAGAAGCTCAAAAACCAATAATAAGGAATAAACTAGTATCGATGCAAGACCAAGAAGCCTTCCAAGTTGAGATGCCAATCAAAGCCACACGTAGTAATAATCATGTCACCTAATAAAAGATAAGAATATTAGGGATGGCAAAAGTTCAAGGGTTGTGGCCCCTACCCCTATTCCTCGTCTATAGAAACAAGGGCAAGCTCCACATAGCTAGTTTTCCTGTGTTGGTGTCAGCACAGGACACAGTTGTTAAGAGGCACAAAAGAGTGCTAGATTGTGAGTCCTTGTTTTCGTGGCACCTAGGCAACAAGAATACGATGATATAGTTTGGTTCGTATATGAGTAAATTTCAGGGTTTTTCGGTTAAATCACTGTTTGTGATGAGGCACAAAAGAGTGCTAGATTGTGACTTTGGCATAGTAGTTGACGACTAGAGTGCTAGATTATGACTTTGGCATAGTCGTTGAGTCCTTGTTTCCATTGCTCATAGGCAACAAGAATACAATGATACAGTTTGGTTGGTATTTGGGTAAAATGTATTACGTTGTATCAAAAAAAAAAAAAAAAAAAAAAATCATTGTACTATGTCTAAGCCCCCATCTTCCCCAACCGCCAACCAAGCAAGCAAAGGCCATCCCCAGTCCTTAGCTCAACCTTCAAATAAGTGTCCCTTGCAAAATGTTGCATCAAATAGGTTTGTCCCAAGGGAAAAAAAGGGTTTTCAGAGGGCGACAAAAAGTTCACATTGTACAAATGGTGACTTGCATTTCGTAGAAGATTTTGCAATGAAGCAAAAGGTTTTGAAATGTGTCGAAAGATCCAAAACATGATAGAAGCCTTCAGAAGGTTCTAGGAGGGTGCGAAAGTTTCCGCAAGGTTAAGCAATGTTGTAGAAGATTCCATCAGGCCCTAAGACTTGGAGATAGAGTGTCCTAGAAGTCTCTAGGGCCTTGGAAAAGGTTATGGACAAATCAAGAGACATAAGGAAGGATAGGGAACTCTAGGACACTCTCGAACATGGTACAAGGCTTTTAAAGGTTATGGAAGGTTTCAACACATTCTTGTACTTTTCCTCTATCTTCTAACACACCCCGAGAACTCATCTGCCACTCAAAAACCCTTTGTTTCGTAAGGGAGGAACCTATAGGATGTTATAAAATACCAACACGTAAATAAAATATTATCATGGTAAGGATCAATATAAAGAGTAAGTTAAAAACAAAAAAATCATATTAGTTATATAAATATTCATGAGAATAACCTACCTTTGACAAGTATCTCCAACTACAATATATATATATATATATATATATATATATATAGAGAGAGAGAGAGAGAGAGAGAGAGAGAGAGAGAGAGAGAGAGAATTGGCTCTACTGTGTCTAATATAGTAATATCAAAGGTCAAAGACTTGCCTACTACCTAAAAAACTAACTTCTTAAGTAATGCTGTTTACCCACCTTGATAAGCAGAAGATCCAAGCTATTTATATATCTAACTAGGGCTTGCAACATTAATCCCTACCTATTCATGTGACGCTCTAATCATAGTCAACACGAACCATGGTCAGCCCGAATCACCTTTGGTCAGTCCCACCCTACCTGGATCCTTTTTAGGCACCTTTGTCACAATCAACAATTACCATAACAGGTCCAAATTACCCTTGGTTAGTCCCACCTAGCTTAACTAGAACTTTTATAGGCATTGATATGGATTACAAACATTACCGTCACCAACTTTTGTGACAGCCTCCTCACAATTAGCACTAACTAGTCCAAATTACCCATGGTCAGACGATATATATGAAAACCTAGGCCAACTCTAATACTGCTCGTCACAGTTCGACCACTTGCCAACAACCAAAAACTAGTATATTAGTTGACATCGCTTATAAACTCAAGATCCAACCATTTTTATCTAATCACATAGAATTCAACATAACAAAGTATTGTCTAAGAATCGTGTAAAGCCTTCTTTCACATTTATCATTCACAAGGAAATGAAAAACAATAAATATTGAGAATAAAGAAAAAGAGAAGGTGTAAAGCCTCTTCCAAGATTTAAAATCAAAAATGGAAATAATAGAAATAATAGAAATAATAGAAAGAAAGACACATGTGGACAATATACAAAAAGATAGATATAATACACCAAAAATACTTGTAGCCAAGCAACCCATAAGCCTAATTTGGTAGGCAAACCCAAAAGGCTCAACTCAAAGTTCAATAGATATCTCGAGTGCCTTGACTTAAAGATAAAACTGAGATTTGTTGAGGTTAGGCTTTATCATGCCTATTTGTCAAAACCTTACCAAGAGCAAAAAGAATTAAAAAAAAAAAAAAAAACCTTACCAAGAGCAAAAAGAATTAAAAAAAAAAAAAAAAAAAAAACACTTAGTACTGTGGTAAGTGAGTGAATGAGCATGTACCACAAGAAAAAACGCAAGATTGGTTATATCTTTCCCATATATGTTTATCTTATTTTCCTTGATGGCAAAGATTCAACAAATCTATTTGTTAAGGTCAGGCTTTATCATGCCTTATTGCAACAACGTAACCAAGACCAAAAAGAATAAAAAAGTTCAAACCTAGTTTTCCAAACATTCATATCTTCTTCCTCAACTTCTTGAATTTCTCTCCTATATCATATTAGCTTTAAAATATTGCTTTCTTATTTTATGTTTATTATTTTACTTGCTAGTTTTGGCAAAGGGAGGCTGCCAACTTGAGGCAACAGCTACAAGGCTTACAAGAATGCCACAGGTAGAACCACTAGTTACTCAGTGTATAACTATCACTTCTTCCATGTATAATAAAGCAAGAAAAATTCTTATGGATCTAATTCTTATGAATGCATAATTATGTTATAATACAAAAAATAAATAATTAAAGAGAAGTGAAATTGGTAATAGTATTTACAACAAACACAAAAAAGAATAGAGAACATGATATGTAGGGACAATATCAACAATACCACATTTTTTACACGATTGGGACATTGCTTTTTTATCATTCCACTAAATCAACCATTGAGATTAAATTTAAAATGCAAATTTAATGCACCTAAAAAATGACATATGTTAAATGCAATCTCAATAATCCAACATAGTTTGACTTGACAATTGACAACTAGAGTCACAAATTGTGTAAACCTTATATGATCTGAACTTAGTATGGATATCCAATATAGGTATTCTTGACTTTCAGTGCCCAAAAGTAATCTCTATATCTAGCCTTTTTGGATAAAAGTCTCAAGAAGATGGTATAAACTCCATTATTCATTCAATTTATCAAAACTTGCTCCAGGTTTTATCCATGCATCATTTTAAAACATGGAGAAAAGATTTATCCATCCGTAGGTTGAGTTAATGATAGGAGAAAATTCATGCTTCCACAATAATGATCTAAAGATTCAAAAACTAGTAAATAACAAACATTTACAAAGAAAGAATTGTAAATTAATGGTAGGCAAGAATGTGACATTTACACAACTAGAGTACAAATTTATGACATAAGAAAATAGGGACTTGCTATTTAATGGTTAAGACCATGTGAAATACCCCAACATATATCACATGAACTAATAAAAATATTTCAGTGTTATTTTATAGCATACCAAACATTTCACTTTGATTTATGCAGACAACTGATGGGAGAAGAACTTTCTGGTTTAAGTGTCAAAGAGTTGCAGAATCTGGAAAACCAACTAGAAATGAGTTTGAAGGGTGTCCGGGTGAAAAAGGTAAAATAAACTCAAGGCAATTGTGATATCATTCAACAATGGTTAGGATAATCCATATATATAGAGAAATAAATTCATCTTTTGTTCTCTGTAGGAACAAATTTTAACTGATGAGATCAAAGAACTCAACCACAAGGTTTCCTCAAACGATGATTATAATTTTGTTGAGATTTTTATTATGGGCTAATTCCATGTTACCTGATCTCATTGAGTTTACTGCAGGGAAGTCTCATTCATCAAGAGAATTTAGAACTCTATAAGAAGGTAAACATCCTCCACCAAGAAAATAAAGAACTGCAAAAGAAGGTACTGATCTAGAGAGCTGTACTAACGATTTAAAAAAATCTCATCACCATTTCATTATTGAACCTGCTTTTCATACCTCAATTTCAGTATACATGCCTTATTCTACAAACTGCCACACTCCCACTCAACACACTGCTTGCTAGCTTAAACCTATGGCCTCCCATGAGCACCCCTGATACCACAAAATTTCAAGGCCTCTGAAATACATTATTAAGTTTGTATAAGTGAGTTTTTCTTATTAGCTATGCTTAAGCAAAAGGTTTGGGTCTCAGGTTTATGGATCAAGAAATGTAAATGCAGCAAACAGGATTTCCCAGCCTCCATACACTATCAGCAATGGGTACGAATCACACCCACCTCTCCGTCTCCAGTTAAGCCAGCCCCAGCCTCAAAAAAATGAGACACCACCAAAATCAATGCAACTGGGGTAAAGTTTTTCCTTGATACAGTTGTAAGTAATATATAATTTATGTTTAATAAGTTTATTAATTTAATTCAACCCTGCACATTGTTTTTCAATATTTGCAACAGACTGCAGCTGCATTAACAAAAATTTGACAACTGTGGAAGCACATCACTCCTTACTCTATCAATAACTTGCCCCACAGTTCAAAAGTCAAGCTTGATCAGTAAGCTTCTGATACTAAATACAAGTAAAATTAAGCTGCAGGATCAACAGATTTAGTGTGCAATATTCTATGAAACAAGCTCTATTTATTACTGTAGAACAATCTGCCAAACCCAATATCTTTGTAAATTTTATGCAATAATGGGAAAGAATGTGTCAGGTCTTACACTAACTTTTATTAAAAGGTGTTGTTATGATTGATACTGCTAAAGTTGTAGTACCTATATGGTTTTAATGAAGGTTCGCCAGCATTCCAGAAAACCTGATCTACGTTGCTGTAAACACATTAGCCAAAAATTCATCACTAGTAATTACATATTCAAGAAAACTGCAATGCATGCGACGGGTCATTCACATAGCGCATCTCTAAAGGCTTATTTTTCATCTCCTAGTACAGACACTTATAAAATAATTGTAAAATTTCAATATGATAAACTTAATGAAAGATACTAAACTAACATGATAGCAATAAGATTAAGTGGATAGCTAAGTACATACAAATGCAAACCAGATCAAACAAGGCATGCCTAATTCATAACTTACGCAAAAAACAACACACAATGAGTACAACTAATTTAACATAATGAGCAAAACAAATTGAGAAGCAAGATGAGAACCCCAACTGTACAACGTAGGAAGATGGCTAGAAACAAAATGTCATGCAACAATGACATAAAGACAGGATGAAGAATAAATGTCAAAGATATCTTATAAATCACTGCACAAGATTTATAAGATTTCCAATACTGCCATACCTAGTTCATTGGGGATCTAACAAATAACTTGACATAAATGTAAGCTGTCGCAGACAGGAAATATCTGGTAAATAGACAACCAAGGACTAGAACCTCAGGCTCCATCACCCTTACGCATTCTTAATTACCCAAAACAGCTTATATGTACTTTGCATTGTAAATGGTGTCCAAGATATCCTTTTATCACTTCAAAAAATTTATTAGATTTTTGATGTTGTCATATGTAGTTCTCAGGGATGCATCAAAAAACTACATTGTTTATGTGAGCTCTTGCAGACAGGAGATCTCTGGTAGGTGGAAAAACCAAAGATCAGAACCTCAAGGTTTGGAATCCTTTCACTTTCTATGTGTGCAACATAGCATATAAGTGCTTTGCTGGGTTTGTCCAAGATATCTTATAATAACTGTTGACAATATTACGTTAATTTAGGGTTTTTTCCTTTATTGTATATTTGTTTTAATTAGGGCTATAATTAAGGCTGTAAAATAGGCTTTTATTTTTCTGAATATTATATTTTTCCTAGTTTAGAATATTCCTATTTTAAAACTCTTGTATACCAGGCTTCCTTGTAACTTTCAGAATTAAGACAATAAGAATTATTCCATTCAGTCTTTTGTCTTCTCTCTCTGTCAACAATAACTACACAAGATTTTTAAAATTTTCGATGTTGGCATACCTAGTTTGCAGAATATATATGTGAGATCTTCAAGACAGAAGAACTCTGGTAGGTGGAAAAACCAAAAACCAGAGCTTTAAGCTTTGGCACCCTTTCTCTTTCTTAAGTATCCAATCCAGCATATTTGTGCTTTGCCCTGTAACACGTGCATTAGTCAGTACAAGCACTGAAAAGACCGTTATTTATGTCCTTTACATCCTTTTAAGTTCTTTACGCAGACCCCTTTCATGTCATTATCAGTAAAGAGTCAATGATTACACTCTGCCCCCATTTAGTATTTAAGGCCGTGAGAAGAAGGCAAGATAAAATGAGAAACTTCTAGCAGCTTATGAGTAGGATAGTTTGGCTGCAAGTATAAGGTGTCAGGAATAAAAGATATCAGAACCAAGAAGATGCTAACAAATCAACAGTTGAATACATCCAGAGAAAAACCTGAATTTCTAATGTGCTTTTCCACTCAAAAAACCAGATTCATGTGCGCTCACTAATGATGCACACAACATATAACTAAAAACAAACACGCTACACTAAATCACATCATATGTTGGCTACAATAAATAAATTAGTTGGATGCAGTGACCACTGCTAATTAATACAAGCGAACCAAGACTTCCAAGTTCAGACTATGAAATAACAGTAAGGTATGAAATAAAAGGGTGGGCCAGCGCTCTTATTCTAGTTCACAGAAAAATTTAATTTGGTTTTACAAGCTTTTGGCAGTGAGTTTATTCGTTTCACTACCATTGCAATTTGTCCAAAATTTGGATAGCCTACTTGTATCCAAACATTAAGACTAAAACAGTCTCACTTCACTCAGATACTTCTAGAAAGATTCAATATGAATAAGAATTTTCTGAAAAAGAGATCAAAAGAATCCTTTTCATCATCTTGTTCTGGTTTTTCAGAAGTATTTGTATTTTGTGATTTCCTGCAATAAACAGTTGGAACTGAATAATTGATGCTCTTACAGAGGTCAAAGGATAAACAAGTTTTGATTGGAAACTCTGAACACTTTAGGCACCAAAAATTACGGTAGAAGCTTCAAAAGTGAACACATGTCGTTCACCTTAAGTAAATGGACTTTATAACTATATCAGTAAATAGATTCTTATTCAATCAACAAGTGACCATTTGCCACAAACTGCCCAACCTACAGTATTGGTAGGATGATGGTTGTCCAAGTCAATATTTCAAAGTCACACTTCTAAAGAAAACACTAATCAAAATTACACAATCACTTTACAACACAGCTTTCATTATTAAATTACAACTTGACCCTAAAACATAAGCTATCAAGGGCCAAAACAATAATATTAAAACCTGTATGAGGCCACCTCATGTGTAACATAGATCAAACCCAACAATTTCAGGTAGAATAGACAAACTTACAAATATAGATGTCAATATAAGTGACATGAGAAATTTGAACTCAAAGCCTTTTAATGCAATATAAGTGATGCTTAAGAAGATATTTTAACACACAAGGAAAATTTTAATTGGGAAGTTGTTAAATTGTTTTGAGATTTAAATTAAATAATTGGTTTGAATGTAATGTTGATTCATCATTTAACAAGGTTCATGTTTACTGTTTAATCTGAATATGATAAACTCTAACATTTTTTTAATACCTTATCTGTTGTAATAGGAAGTTATAAAATATTACCATCAATTTTTGTATCTAAACCTCACAATAAGTGGTCAGTAGTCGCAGAAATGAAATATTACTATCAATAAGTGGTATAGGGTAGTTTGAAGTGTCATCATGAAAAGCAAAATATATATATATATATATATATATATAGAGAGAGAGAGAGAGAGAGAGAGAGAGAGAGAGAGAGAGAGTTGAGAACAACCTAAAAATTTCATAGATACGTTAATATATCTATTTTTTTTTTTCAAGCAGTGTGTATTAGTCTTACGATGTTTATCCCCTTGTTTTGGCTTATTGGCTTGTTGTTTCATTCTTAAGATAGCTTTATTGTTTATTGGAGTGTGATGGATAAGAAAAGAAACTTTGCTCTCTCATTGGTAATTTAGTAAATAAACCCAAACCGAACCATGCAACAATCATTTGTTTATAAGAACTAAAATTGGCGCATTATGTGGAATATGGCCAAAGTCGTGCATTGCCAACTCAAAACTAAACTTTTGACAACAGAAGGAAAAAAAATTAACCACTTATTACTTTCTACTTGAAAATTTAAACTATCAGTGACCTTATCAAAAGACAAAATGGTCAAATTAAATTTCATTTTTTACCTAGAAATTCATCGATCTTCCCTACATGTTCACCAAGATCTAATTAAAGCCTATTTCTATACTCTAAAAATTCAATAACCAGAAAGCATGCGGGAATCTCACATAGGTGGCCCCAAAAAGATTGAATCTTTGACCTCATAACTGAAACCAAGGGCTTTTACCACTAATAAGCATAGCCCATGGGGTACAAAAATTGAATTTGATTAATTCAACTTATAAGACTTTGGAACAATTAGAAAATTACAAAAAAATGGTTTACATGCCTTCATCTTATTCATAAAACCCTATAATTTCACATGCTTTTATTGCATCCCTGAAAAAGTAAGACTTTACTTTCTTCTCAAATATGCTTGGAATTTAATCTCTCCCACCAAAACTTAAAGTTGATATACTCAGGAAGTTTAATATCCTTTTAAAACTTGATAACTATTACGTTCTTGTTCCAACAATACATGAGAAAGGGTCTGCTAGTTGGTTGATATAACAAATATAAATTCAAATCTTCCTTCAAAGATCAGAGAGAAACAAATAGAACCAGATACATTACTCTCATTGAACATATCGATTCCAGAACACAGTTTAAAAATAAATATAAAAAGAAGAAGATGCCTAACCATTCACACAGGGTACATATACATAAGACACCTTTGATGACAATATTGGCTAACATATTATTAATAAAAAGATTTTGAAAATCAGCTTTATGAAACCAACATAAAAGAACTAAACATCCACGAACTTGATATGGTACTCGGCAAAAAATGTGGACCACATTTTGCCGATATCATTTGCTTAACATTTGCTACAAACAGTAGGTAGAACATGTGCTCAATTAACCATTAGATGGATTTAACCTAGCGGATATGGGTTTTCACTATATTATTAGACAGATTGTGTTTTTTACTATCCAAGATCCTCATTAGAACAGTAGAACAATCTACGGTAATTTTCATGCACAACAGCACAAGTATACTGATGTGATCAATGAATAAGTTAAAAGGTTATAACAAGCTTCAGTGATTACTAAAAAAAGTTTTGAATTCAAACTCTATGACTCTTTCAATAAGTATTTTATTTGATAAAATGCTTATATTGGTTGAAGAAGGATTTATAGAGCAATGACCATGTTTTCTACAGTATATCTATATGTGTATAGGTCCTGACCACTAAATAAACAAAAGATCAATATAGAGAGATCAGGACATTGTAAAATGGTCCTAAAAACAACAAAAACTAAGATAAACGCCCTTAATAAATTCATTAGTGCCTCAGAGTTGTAAACTATAAAGATACACTGCAAAATTCAAAGACACACTACTTCTCCTTTCAACAATACCTATAATTTAGACTTAGAAAACTTTCAGTAGCAAAACAAGAAAAATTCAGATGCAAATTATTAATCATATATTTTCTTTCCTGGACTGGTCCAGTAAAACTCAATAAGACACACTGACTTGAACTGTTAAAGAAAGATGATTTCTCTAATAAATGGGAAAGAGCATACATGGTGGTACTATTTCCTTTTTGTTTGTATCAAATAACATTGTTGTAAAATGGCTTAACCCTTAGGAATTACCAAAGATTGATTATGTAGAAGATAGCATTCTCATCCATGTTTTCAAACTGAAAGAAGTATCATTGAAATCCACCAATCACTCTCCAACAAATCCCTGAATTATACCACAGCACACAATTTTGATTCACAATTGTACACTCCATTATGAAATTATAGAAACTAAAATTACATTGTGCTCACAAACTTGAAACAATAATGTTGCAACAACAAAGTTAAGAAAAACAAATCTACTTTTCATGATAAAATCAATCCAACATTTCAAAACTACTTCAGCTTAAGGCCACTGGCCACTATAAGACAGTTTCTTCACAACTGAACCATAGGACTCAACTCGCTGCAATTCAAAGGCAAACCAAGTACATATGACATTTGGGAGGCTCAATCCATGAGAAAATGAAACAGTTAATAACTCATATAAACATCATCATGTTACTCCTTAAATTTAAAACAACAAATTCCGCACAACTACTTTATTTACACCGATTTCTTCTGCATTCAATTAAAATACAACCACAAATTAACGAAATATGAACGCGGAAAGGGCAAAATATAAATAAGTAAAAATACTTGAACAAGCATGAAACCATGGAAATCAGAAGAAGTAATGCAATAACAAAAGCGTAAAGCAGACATAAACACAAACATGGACATGCAATATAATACCTGAGCAAACGAACAGTTCAAAGATTCATCGTAGAAACGTCTACCATAGAGCGAGCAACAGAGAGAAAAACTGCACGAAAAACAAAGGCAAGAGAAAACACAGCAAAATATTAAGCATAGAAATCAAGTAAAAAGGAAGAAAGCAAGAATTGAACATAGTTGTTTAACAAACAAGAGAAAAACTTCAACTCAAGAAAAACAATCGGCATGAAAATCTCTTTTGGAACAATATGCATTACAGATAAAGAGGCCATGAATAATAAGATCTAGGGCAACTGAACGGAAAGAATTAGAATAGAGTGCATCAAAGTGAAGGATCAGGCAAAGTTTTTATTGGATCAGGCAAAGTTTTTATTGAGTTCAATATATAAAAATCGTCGTGTGTAGAGAGAGAAAAAATATCTAAGCCAACGTTCACGTCTGTGGATTAGAAAATCGGAGAAAGATTCTGTGTGGACAGTATTATAAGAAGGTGTCGATGTAGCTGGACAGCTGTCGAAGTGTGAGGTCCCGTAATAAGATTCTTCTGATCACTCGAGTATATACGATTCGTTTGTTTTATTATTGTGGGTACGATTTTGAGAATAGTATTAAATAGTTAAATAGAGTTATTATTATAAGAATAAGATTTAAAGAACATGGTTTCATTTGTTTCATTTTTGAGAACGTTATTATTAGTATTCTTAAAAAAGTTAAATAGTAAAATGTCATTATTACCAAAATATTATTCTATATTTTTAAATTTCTTTTAAACATCTTAAATTTATTAATTTAACTAAACACCCATAAATATTTTTTTTAGAAATTGCAAAAACACTCCGGCCACCCTCCGGCGGTGGTAGCCGGCTGTCCGTATTTAATGGGTGGGTTGGAGGTGTTTTTGTTAACTTTTAATATTTTATTATAAGGGTGTTTAGTAAATAAACAAACATAGGGGATATTTTTGTTAATTTCTAAATCATACATCGTAATACCCGTCCAATTTAATTTTTTTTTCAAAAAATTATTCTAAAAACTATCAAAATAATGAACCAAACGGAGCCTATGTGTTTGGTAGAGTATTTTAACCTTGTTATTTGTGTTTTTTATTTGATTAATCTATTTTTTTTATAAATGATTTATTAATATAATATTTTGGTGGATTTTGTTAAAATAATGTATTATTATAACCTTAAAACTTATCAATTTACATTTTAATAATATTAAACATTTTATTGGTAATTTTGTAACCAGTAAATATTAAAAAACAAAATCTCATATTAATTTCAAGTACTAATCCAACTGTTTTAAAACATCACATTGATATATATATGACAAAAGTACTAATTATCAACCCTTACAATCGTTCTTACACGTATACTCCATTAACAACTACGACATGGTCCACTGCGCTGCCCGTAGTGCATTCGTTATGTTATCTCGTACAATTGTCATGTTGTCTATAATACCTTGCTATAGTTAACTCGGTCGTTCTCTATTTCGACCATCTTCTGCCCCGTTTTGGCGATCACAATATATTTGCTCATTACTCGTATTTTCAATATATTGTTCGAAGATAGGGTCCTTCGTATTGTACATTCTGATAAAATTATGAAGTACACAACATGCCAAACAATCTTCCCTTGTTTGTCCAACAGGTAATTGTTCATTCCATTCAGAATACGGAACCGTCTTTTCAAAACTCCAAAGGTTCTCTCGATAACATTGCGGAGTGAAGCATGTTTGTAGTTAAACAACTCTTGTGGCCTCCTTCGGTTATGGCGGTGATCAGTAATATGGTAAGCCGCTCGCCTATGAGGGACGAGGAACCACTCTCTCTTTGGATAACCCGCATCAACCAAATAGTATTTTCCTATAATAAAATCAGACATGTTATTTGAACTACAGGGCCTTAATAGTGGATCAAATACGCTATAATACGTCAAGAAAATACTTATACCTAGTGGAGGATGTGGGAATCCAGAATTAGGATCATCAAGAATTGAATTTAAAACTCTTGAATCATGTGCAGATCCTTCCCATCCAGTAATGACATAAGTGAACATCATCCTAAAGTCACATGCAGCCATTACATTCTGTGACAACATTCCTTTGCGATTCCGGTACCTATCGGCAAATTCATGTGGAACCGAAACGTTTACATGTGTGCCATCAATGGCTCCAATACAGTCCTATCATCAAAATTGAATTTTACTCATATTAACCGACTATCAACATTAATAACACAATGAACTTAACTATCCACTAATAGAAAACATAATGAACCAGTACCTTAGAGAAAGGGTAATATTTTCGGTTGGCTGATATTTCCCATGGAACATCACTAAAGTCAGGTGGCCTAATAAACTCTGTCTTCAACTCACATATCGTCTCGCAAATTGCGCCAACATATCTAAAGATCGTCTCACCCAAATGTTGGAAATCCTCTATCATCGTTCTGATTGTCTCGTTTTTACCAACGATTATTAGAAATTCATAACTTGTTCTTCCAAACTCGTCTTCCTGGTTGGTCGCAATTTGCCTTGCTCTGACAAAATGTCACATAAGTATGTAAAACAGTCTTTGTCCATGTGGCACTTGTCAAAGATCCTGCCAGCATGACCATTGAGTACTTCCAAACATGTACTCATGATCAGTTAATATGGATGTATGTCGTAGTTAATGCTCAGTTGTTTCTAACGCGGCAACACCGCAGAGTGCAATGGCTATATCTATCAGTATTTCTTCTTCGTTATCTGTAGAACGTCATCTTCTTCCTGTACGGCTAGATGACGCCATTTAAACTTGCACATTTACAAAACACTGATCAACAATTAACAGTTGTTGTACTACTTAGCAAAATATAATAGTCAATATTTAATTCTAATGACAATCCAAAACTCATATGAAACATGTAATCTCACATAAAACAGTAGCACAATTAATAAGTTCATACAATAGCGTTATAAATTCTAATTCTAATGACAAGTGCCCACTGACGCATACAAAAGTGTTGGCAAACACTTAGGACATACAGTGTCATCTACAAATTGCAAAAGTCGTCATAAATCCAATTAGCCTTTTCCTCGAGTGGGAGTTTCACGAATATCTCCCGCCACCTTGGATTTTGATATAAGTACTTAACAACCGGCATGTAAAACTCTGTGGGTACTTGCATGGACGTCATGATGTCAATACAATTGCTCATGGAAAACGGATCAGATGGATCACTGGTGTTCTCCTCGTCTCTCTCATCTCCACTGCGATTGTTAGCCCTCAATCCCATAGTCCACTTCTCCACAAGCTCGTCCGTCAATCTACCAATGACATCCGCAAGTGATTGTCCCAGGCCACTTCTGTTCCTTCTATTTCTTGCTCTTCCATGGCTAGATGTGTTTGGCCATTTTTCCCCTATCGTCTGATCTAGATCAGGTTTAAAGTCGTTATCATCCATGGGAACCGCATCCTGATTGGAATAAGTGAAGGTCTCCACCGGTTGAGATGTAAATGTGTATGCATATTTCCCAGTGGCAGTTTGCTTCTCAAATATGATTTCATAAAGCTCCTTGTGAGGAAGTCCCTTGTGGTAGAATTGTTGCACCAGTGGGTTTTGCTGGTAATGTAAAAGAATAATATATTAATATTTGGCAGTCCAAAAAAAATGCGTACAATTACGGTGTCGTTGATTAATGTTAGTTGAAAAAGATGAAAATTTACCTTGACATATTCTTGTCAAACCTCTACGGGACACGTTGGACTTTGCGACTTATGATCCCACCCAAACCTCATGTGTTGCAGCAATTTCCACCATGCTTGATATACTCTTCACAGGCAAAAGTACTTAGAGGTTAGTTGTGTGACGTTGAGTCTCCTCCCAGCCACTGATGATAAGTCGTCCAACATTTCCTGGTAATTTGCTGTTTTTATTGAAGTACCGTGCGAAGTTTTCGCCTGCTCAGACAACATGACCAGAAATTTGTGGGTCATCTTAGTGGACCGGTTCACAGTATCACGCATCTAAGGACAGTGCGGTGAGAACGACAACCAACATTGGGACACCATACGAATCACTAATCACATTACAAACAAACATATGTACATGTAAACGTAATCAAGTAAACACAGATAAACTTATACCTCGTTCAATCCGACACTGCTTGAAGCTATCAATGTAGGGGAAGATACATGCAATGTTGACCAACAAGGTGTATGACGAACTCCAAGTCTGGAAAAACGTTGAAACTTTTGCCTCTGCTGCAAGTAGTAATCAATCCTGTGACGTTGGGACAAATTATACTGACATTTGTTTTACAGATTCAGCATCGTTATTTGATCGTACGAACAAATTACGATCATATGCACAATTAGAAAAATCCCAAAAAAATATTTCCATTAATCTAACAATTTTTTACTCCCAAAATTCATCCATTACAGATATATTCTTTTTATTGTTTTCCCTTTCACGATTTACCGATATATTCTTTTTATTGTTTGCCCTTTTCACGATTTCCATATTTCCCTGTAAAGATTGAAACGTTAAAAATAATACCAACAAAATAAACTTTTTTTTTTTTTAACTTTTTTTAGCTTTTTATATTTACATATATTGATGCAAATTGTCAAAGCAAATAGGCCATTACATTTGCGTGGTGATCGGTGGTTGGTATCATATGGTGGGAGTTGGTTCACGTTGAGGCGACGACGGTGGGCGTTCATGGTAGTTCTGCGACGGTGGTCTTCGCTTCGTGGCAGATCAGCGAGGACGAGAGATTTTAACAACAGATCAATGACAACGCAAGGTCTTCGTGGCAAATCGACGACGACGGGAGATCTTCACGACAGATCGGCGACGACAAGAGATCTTTGTGGCAGAAAAGACGACGATCGGTGTGGTTCCTGGTAGAAAACACGACAACGATTGTGGTTCGTGGCAGAAAAGACCACGACGATGGTGGTTCATGGCAGATCCTGATCGATGGTGGTGGTTTTAAGATGGCAGACAATGAATGATGGACGATGGTATTGTGATGATGGTTTGCTTTTGTGATGATGGTGGCAGTGGAAGATGGGTTGCGACGGTGGGTTTTGTTTTGTGATGATAAAAGTAGATGGTGATTAGTGGTGGCTATGCATTTTTGTTGTGATGATGGTGGAATAATGTGTTTGGGTGGTATTTGCAGGTGGAAGATTGTATTTGCAAGTGGAAGGTCGGACAATGTGAGGTGGTTTTGTGTTGTTGGAATTCATAGGAAGATTGTTTCTCACGGTGGATTTGGGAATTGACAGGAAGATGTGACGGTGGTGAAAGAGTCAAGACAGAACAAACAGACAGAAAAAAAAGTGAAGAAAGAAAAGAAGACTGCAAAAGTGAAGAAAGAAAAGAAGACTGCAAAAGTGAAGAAAGAAAAGAAGACTGCAAAATTGCAGGCAACGGTCACATGTGTCGAAATCAGTTTTTGAAAAAACTTTTTGCTGAATAATAAAACAAACAATATCTGGAAAATAGGATAGAGAATAGGGTTGCAAATAATGAAACAAATGCACCCTACATTTTTTTATTGTATGAACGTTCTAGTATCGTCGTACCTCATCCCTAAATAATATCATTATCATTGAGTAATATTATATTTACAAAATCCTTGTAAAAGATATATGTACAAAGCGATGAATCATACTATAATTGAGACAGTGAATTTAACTTTAGTTAAAAAGTTGACTTTAAAAATTCACTCTCCCAATCATAGTATGACACATCACTTTGTACACATATATTTGTAAGAGGACTTTGTGAGTGTAGTATTATTTATTATCATTAATTGTTAAAGCTCAAAGTATTACGATCATTTTCAACTACAATAATATTATAGGAGAAATATGACATATTTCACAGTTTACATTATGCAATGAAATTACATCCCAAATCATCTAATCATAAATTAATTTTATTATGAATTTTATTATAGATTGATAGTTTTAGATAAGGTTGACAATATCCGGAGAAGGCGCCCTTGGATGAGTAACCTGCAAGGTGGAAGCAAAATCTGTCCCATCACAATATATGTCTCTCAACCAAAAAAATTAAATATAGTCTTTCTTTTTTTATAATATAAATAAGTAATAATTCTGATACTTTTTATGTTATTTGTAAAAGATAAATGATTGTATTTAAATTTCATATTACTCTCTTTGAATTCTAAAATGTTTTGTCTTGCTTTATTTGCATGTTAATTTTCAGTAATTTAAATTGTTTAAATTTTAATTATAATTTTCATATGTCCGTAATTAAAATACTTTTCTTCTAATTTTAATTCTAGGAGTAATTTATTTAAGTTATGGGTTCAATTAGAAATATTTTTTATTTTAAAGCATAACTAAGAATAAATAGAGATGGCAATGGGCCCAATATTTTCGGGTACCCGACCTGGCCCGTCCTGAAAAGGTCGGGCTTTACCTGATGTTTGCGGGCTTAGACTTGGGCTTGGGCCTGATTTTAAAGCCCAACCTTGGGTACGGGCCAGGCTTGTGTATGTTTTCCATCCCAGCCTGGCCTAACAATTTTAGTATTAATTATACTAAATTGCCCTTATACTATATATTTAATTACAAGATTATCCTACATATATATACTCATTTTCCCCAAACCCTACATGGATGGATGGATGCACTTTATGGAAAGTTATTTATATATTTGGTGAGTATTCAAAAATAAATTAATATTTAAAAATTGTTTCTAGAATTAAAAATATAAAATAATTGAAATTTATTAATATTTAAAAATTCACATTATAAAAATGGGCGGACTTGAGCCAAGCCTAAGATTACAAAAAGCGTGTCAGACCGGGCTTGAGTTTTATCTGTCATACCCATGATGGACCCGGACTAGGCTTGGACCTTTGTCATGAGATCGGGCTTGGACCTAGGCCAAGGGGTACTCGGTCTGGTCGACCCATTGCCATCACTAAGAATATAGAAGAAATGTGTACAGCCCGTGGGTGAAGCAGTTGTAAGTGTTTTTGTCAGAAGGAAATGAAGCACGAGAAAGCTATGTGGAGTGTGAAAGGCCCNACGTGAAACTAAAGGCCCGATATTTTCTAAAATCATTATCCTCTTGCTCCCTCTGAAAATTTCCTGTATTTACCAGCACTTGGCTTCTGTAGGATGAAGGATGAAATTTTTTGGTGGGATGGATTGGAATAATTCATCAATAAGAATCTTTGCCTTCTCATTTTCTTTAAATTATAAGTTTATAACTTGTCCTTTTCTCGTGAAAAATAAAGGTCGTGAAGCTGATGATTATATACATGGGAGTAAATATAAAGAACCGTCAAGGTTTGACAGCTTTAGACATCTACGATTGCATGGATCGGCCGAATCTAGAGGTTGGGAAAAGTCTACTTGGTTCTAAGGCTAAAAGAGCTTCTCCACTTCATCATGTTCCTGATCCTGATCATAACTTGAGTAGCAACTTCTACCTCAAAGGAAAAACCACTTCTTGGACTTTTCACTGTCCACTACTTTTCACTGTCACTTATTGCGAAATGGCAATAAGATGAAAAGGAAAAAGAAAAAAAAGAACATTCCTAAGAGAACTACAACAAAAATGGTTTACGATAATACTGGACAGTAACAATTTTCCTTAAAGTGTTACTGTAAACTATCTATGGTAACACTTGATGTTAAAATGTTACAATAATTATTTTTATATGTAACACTTTAATTTTTTGTAACACATTTTATATCAATGGTAACTCTTTTTTGTAAAATATTATTAATACTGGAACTACAGTAACATTTAAAGTGTTACAATAGACGTAGTAATATAGTAGCTTTTTTATAATGTTATCATATAATCAAAATACAGTAACATTTTATAAATGTTACCATAAACCCAATTATTTAACAGGAAACAAAATATCACTCCCGCCAACATGAAATGAGGTTGATTTTGTCTCATTTTTATTGTTTAGGGGTCACATTATATTATTTGGGTTTATTTTGTCACCTTACAACACCCAAATATTAACGGGGAAAATAACACTTTAATACCACCAACCCAAAATCCTTAATTAAACAAAATTATTTTAACCCTTAAAATTAAAAAAAAATTAGAAAAATTCTCCATTGCATCGTCACTGATCTGATACACAAAATCCCCAAAAGTATTTTTATGCTAAGGCAACGTAAATTTCTCTCCACTTCTCCACTCCGTTCGCCTCTTCTTCTCCATTTTAGCTTGAAATATGTACTTCTCCACTCCGTTCGCCTCCTTTTCTCCATTTGACGCCTGAAATCTAGACTTCTCCACTGCGTTCGCCTCTTCTTCTCCATTGTGCGCCTGAAATCTAGACTTCACAACTCCGTTCCCCTCTTCTTCTCCATAGTATTACTACTTGCTTTCACAGTGAAGTCAAGAGAGCTTTGAAGAAAAACACTTAATTGGTAAACATTCATGATCACTTTCTTTCAATTTCCTTGTTAACATTGTTGTGAAACCTAAAGACCGTGATTAAATTTATTATTCACAATTGTTTTTTATTCTTTTTTTGCTTGCATTTGTCTAGGGTTTCTGGGTTTTTCTTGAATTGTATTGTGAAAGCTGGAATTGTATTGTAGTGGGTTTTTCTTGGCTAGTGATTATCATGAGGACCTTATACTTGATAAATAATAACTGTAATTTGTCTTGCAATTCTAGGAATCCTTCATTCACTTGATTCGTGGAANCTTATTTTATGTTTATTATTTTACTTGCTAGTTTTGGCAAAGGGAGGCTGCCAACTTGAGGCAACAGCTACAAGGCTTACAAGAATGCCACAGGTAGAACCACTAGTTACTCAGAGTATAACTATCAATTCTTCCATGTATAATAAAGCAAGAAAAATTCTTATGGATCTAATTCTTATGAATGCATAATTATGTTATAATACAAAAAATAAATAATTAAAGAGAAGTGAAATTGGTAATAGTATTTACAACAAACACAAAAAAGAATAGAGAACATGATATGTAGGGACAATATCAACAATACCACATTTTTTACACGATTGGGACATTGCTTTTTTATCATTCCACTAAATCAACCATTGAGATTAAATTTAAAATGCAAATTTAATGCACCTAAAAAATGACATATGTTAAATGCAATCTCAATAATCCAACATAGTTTGACTTGACAATTGACAACTAGAGTCACAAATTGTGTAAACCTTATATGATCTGAACTTAGTATGGATATCCAATATAGGTATTCTTGACTTTCAGTGCCCAAAAGTAATCTCTATATCTAGCCTTTTTGGATAAAAGTCTCAAGAAGATGGTATAAACTCCATTATTCATTCAATTTATCAAAACTTGCTCCAGGTTTTATCCATGCATCATTTTAAAACATGGAGAAAAGATTTATCCATCCGTAGGTTGAGTTAATGATAGGAGAAAATTCATGCTTCCACAATAATGATCTAAAGATTCAAAAACTAGTAAATAACAAACATTTACAAAGAAAGAATTGTAAATTAATGGTAGGCAAGAATGTGACATTTACACAACTAGAGTACAAATTTATGACATAAGAAAATAGGGACTTGCTATTTAATGGTTAAGACCATGTGAAATACCCCAACATATATCACATGAACTAATAAAAATATTTCAGTGTTATTTTATAGCATACCAAACATTTCACTTTGATTTATGCAGACAACTGATGGGAGAAGAACTTTCTGGTTTAAGTGTCAAAGAGTTGCAGAATCTGGAAAACCAACTAGAAATGAGTTTGAAGGGTGTCCGGGTGAAAAAGGTAAAATAAACTCAAGGCAATTGTGATATCATTCAACAATGGTTAGGATAATCCATATATATAGAGAAATAAATTCATCTTTTGTTCTCTGTAGGAACAAATTTTAACTGATGAGATCAAAGAACTCAACCACAAGGTTTCCTCAAACGATGATTATAATTTTGTTGAGATTTTTATTATGGGCTAATTCCATGTTACCTGATCTCATTGAGTTTACTGCAGGGAAGTCTCATTCATCAAGAGAATTTAGAACTCTATAAGAAGGTAAACATCCTCCACCAAGAAAATAAAGAACTGCAAAAGAAGGTACTGATCTAGAGAGCTGTACTAACGATTTAAAAAAATCTCATCACCATTTCATTATTGAACCTGCTTTTCATACCTCAATTTCAGTATACATGCCTTATTCTACAAACTGCCACACTCCCACTCAACACACTGCTTGCTAGCTTAAACCTATGGCCTCCCATGAGCACCCCTGATACCACAAAATTTCAAGGCCTCTGAAATACATTATTAAGTTTGTATAAGTGAGTTTTTCTTATTAGCTATGCTTAAGCAAAAGGTTTGGGTCTCAGGTTTATGGATCAAGAAATGTAAATGCAGCAAACAGGATTTCCCAGCCTCCATACACTATCAGCAATGGGTACGAATCACACCCACCTCTCCGTCTCCAGTTAAGCCAGCCCCAGCCTCAAAAAAATGAGACACCACCAAAATCAATGCAACTGGGGTAAAGTTTTTCCTTGATACAGTTGTAAGTAATATATAATTTATGTTTAATAAGTTTATTAATTTAATTCAACCCTGCACATTGTTTTTCAATATTTGCAACAGACTGCAGCTGCATTAACAAAAATTTGACAACTGTGGAAGCACATCACTCCTTACTCTATCAATAACTTGCCCCACAGTTCAAAAGTCAAGCTTGATCAGTAAGCTTCTGTTACTAAATACAAGTAAAATTAAGCTGCAGGATCAACAGATTTAGTGTGCAATATTCTATGAAACAAGCTCTATTTATTACTGTAGAACAATCTGCCAAACCCAATATCTATGTAAATTTTATGCAATAATGGGAAAGAATGTGTCAGGTCTTACATAACTTTTATTAAAAGGTGTTGTTATGATTGATACTGCTAAAGTTGTAGTACCTATATGGTTTTAATGAAGGTTCGCTAGCATTCCAGAAAACCTGATCTATGTTGCTGTAAACACAATAGCCAATAATTCATCACTAGTAATTACATATTCAAGAAAACTGCAATTCATGGGACGGGTCATTCACATAGCACATCCCTAAAGGTTATTTTTCATCTCCTAGTATAGACACTTATGAAATAATAATAAAAGATACTAAACTAACATGATAGCAATAAGATTAAGTGGGTAGCTAAGTACATACAAATGCAAACCAGATCAAACAAGGCATGCCTAATTCATAACTTACGCAAAAAACAACACACAATGGGTACAACTAATTTAAAATAATGAGCAAAACAAATTGAGAAGCAAGATGAGAACCCCAACTGTACAACGTAGGAAGATGGCTAGAAACAAAATGCCATGCAACAATGACATAAAGACAGGATGAAGAATAAATGTCAAAGATATCTTATAAATCACTGCACAAGACTTATAAGATTTCCAATACTGCCATACCTAGTTCATCAGGGATCTAACAAATAACACGACATAAATGTAAGCTCTCGCAGACAGGAAATCTCTGGTAAATAGACAACCAAGGACTAGAACCACAGGCTCCATCACCCTTACGCAATCTTAATTACCCAAAATAGCTTATATGTACTTTGCATTGTAAATGGTGTCCAAGATATCTTTTTATCACTTCAAAAAATTTATTAGATTTTTGATGTTGTCATATGTAGTTCCCATGGATCCATCAAACAACTAAATTGTTTATGTGAGCTCTTGCAGACAGGAGATCTCTGGTAGGTGGAAAACCAAAGATGAGAACCTCAAGGTTTGGAATCCTTTCACTTTCTATGTGCGCAACATAGCATATAAGTGCTTTGCCCGGTTTGTCCAAGATATCTTATAATAACTATTGACAATATTACGTTAATTTAGGGTTTTTTCCTTTATTGTATATTTGTTTTAATTAGGGCTATAATTAAGGCTGTAAAATAGGCTTTTATTTTTCTGAATATTATATTTTTCCTAGTTTAGAATATTCCTATTTTAAAACTCTTGTATACCAGGCTTCCTTGTAACTTTCAGAATTAAGACAATAAGAATTATTCCATTCAGTCTTTTGTCTTCTCTGTCGTCAATAACTACACAAGATTTTTAAAATTTTCGATGTTGGCATACCTAGTTTGCAGAATATATATGTGAGATCTTCAAGACAGAAGAACTCTGGTAGGTGGAAAAACCAAAAACCAGAGCTTTAAGCTTTGGCACCCTTTCTCTTTCTTAAGTATCCAATCCAGCATATTTGTGCTTTGCCCTGTAACACGTGCATTAGTCAGTACAAGCACTGAAAAGACCGTTATTTATGTCCTTTACATCCTTTTAAGTTCTTTACGCAGACCCCTTTCATGTCATTATCAGTAAAGAGTCAATGATTACACTCTGCCCCCATTTAGTATTTAAGGCCGTAAGAAGAAGGCAAGATAAAATGAGAAACTTCTAGCAGCTTATGAGTAGGATAGTTTGGCTGCAAGTATAAGGTGTCAGGAATAAAAGATATCAGAACCAAGAAGATGCTAACAAATCAACAGTTGAATACATCCAGAGAAAAACCTGAATTTCTAATGTGCTTTTCCACTCAAAAAACCAGATTCATGTGCGCTCACTAATGATGCACACAACATATAACTAAAAACAAACACGCTACACTAAATCACATCATATGTTGGCTACAATAAATAAATTAGTTGGATGCAGTGACCACTGCTAATTAATACAAGCGAACCAAGACTTCCAAGTTCAGACTATGAAATAACAGTAAGGTATGAAATAAAAGGGTGGGCCAGCGCTCTTATTCTAGTTCACAGAAAAATTTAATTTGGTTTTACAAGCTTTTGGCAGTGAGTTTATTCGTTTCACTACCATTGCAATTTGTCCAAAATTTGGATAGCCTACTTGTATCCAAACATTAAGACTAAAACAGTCTCACTTCACTCAGATACTTCTAGAAAGATTCAATATGAATAAGAATTTTCTGAAAAAGAGATCAAAAGAATCCTTTTCATCATCTTGTTCTGGTTTTTCAGAAGTATTTGTATTTTGTGATTTCCTGCAATAAACAGTTGGAACTGAATAATTGATGCTCTTACAGAGGTCAAAGGATAAACAAGTTTTGATTGGAAACTCTGAACACTTTAGGCACCAAAAATTACGGTAGAAGCTTCAAAAGTGAACACATGTCGTTCACCTTAAGTAAATGGACTTTATAACTATATCAGTAAATAGATTCTTATTCAATCAACAAGTGACCATTTGCCACAAACTGCCCAACCTACAGTATTGGTAGGATGATGGTTGTCCAAGTCAATATTTCAAAGTCACACTTCTAAAGAAAACACTAATCAAAATTACACAATCACTTTACAACACAGCTTTCATTATTAAATTACAACTTGACCCTAAAACATAAGCTATCAAGGGCCAAAACAATAATATTAAAACCTGTATGAGGCCACCTCATGTGTAACATAGATCAAACCCAACAATTTCAGGTAGAATAGACAAACTTACAAATATAGATGTCAATATAAGTGACATGAGAAATTTGAACTCAAAGCCTTTTAATGCAATATAAGTGATGCTTAAGAAGATATTTTAACACACAAGGAAAATTTTAATTGGGAAGTTGTTAAATTGTTTTGAGATTTAAATTAAATAATTGGTTTGAATGTAATGTTGATTCATCATTTAACAAGGTTCATGTTTACTGTTTAATCTGAATATGATAAACTCTAACATTTTTTTAATACCTTATCTGTTGTAATAGGAAGTTATAAAATATTACCATCAATTTTTGTATCTAAACCTCACAATAAGTGGTCAGTAGTCGCAGAAATGAAATATTACTATCAACAAGTGGTATGGGGTAGTTTGAAGTGTCATCATGAAAAGCAAAATATATATATATATATATATATATATAGAGAGAGAGAGAGAGAGAGAGAGAGAGAGAGAGAGAGAGAGTTGAGAACAACCTAAAAATTTCATAGATACGTTAATATATCTATTTTTTTTAAAGCAGTGTGTATTAGTCTTACGATGTTTATCCCCTTGTTTTGGCTTATTGGCTTGTTGTTTCATTCTTAAGATAGCTTTATTGTTTATTGGAGTGTGATGGATAAGAAAAGAAACTTTGCTCTCTCATTGGTAATTTAGTAAATAAACCCAAACCGAACCATGCAACTATCATTTGTTTATAAGAACTAAACTTGGCCCATTATGTGGAATATGGCCAAAGTCATGCATTGCCAACTCAAAACTAAACATTTGACAACAGAAGGAAAAAAAATTAACCACTTATTACTTTCTACTTGAAAATTTAAACTATCAATGGCCTTATCAAAAGACAAAATGGTCAAATTAAATTTCATTTTTTACCTAGAAATCCATCGATCTTCCCTACATGTTCACCAAGATCTAATTAAAGGCTATTTCTATACTCTAAAAATTTAATAACCAGAAAACATGTGGGAATCTCACATAGGTGGCCCCAAAAAGATTGAATCTTTGACCACGTAAGTGAAACCAAGGGCTTTTACCACTAATAAGCTTAGCCCATGCGGTACAAAAATTGAATTTGATTAATTCAACTTATAAGACTTTGGAACAATTAGAAAATTACAAAAAATGGTTTACATGCCTTCATCTTATTCATAAAACCCTATAATTTCACATGCTTTTATTGCATCCCTGAAAAAGTAAGACTTTACTTTCTTCTCAAATATGCTTGGAATTTAATCTCTCCCACAAAACTTAAAGTTGATATACTCAAGAAGTTTAATATCCTTTTAAAACTTGATAACTATTACGTTCTTGCTCCAACAATACATGAGAAAGGGTCTGCTAGTTGGTTGATATAACAAATATAAATTCAAATCTTCCTTCAAAGATCAGAGAGAAACAAATAGAACCAGATACATTACTCTCATTGAACATATCGATTCCAGAACACAGTTTAAAAATAAATATAAAAAGAAGAAGATGCCTAACCATTCACACAGGGTACATATACATAAGACACCTTTGATGACAATATTGGCTAACATATTATTAATAAAAAGATTTTGAAAATCAGCTTTATGAAACCAACATAAAAGAACTAAACATGCACGAACTTGATATGGTACTCAGCAAAAAATGTGGACCACATTTTGCCGATATCATTTGCTTAACATTTGCTACAAGCAGTAGGTAGAACATGTGCTCAATTAACCATTAGATGGACTTAACCTAGCGGTTATGGGTTTTCACTATATTATTAGACAGATTATGTTTTTTACTATCCAAGATCCTCATTAGAACAGTAGAACAATCTAACGTAATTTTCATGCACAACAGCACAAGTATACTGATGTGATCAATCAATAAGTTAAAAGGTTATAACAAGTTTCAGTGATTACTAAAAAAAGTTTTGAATTCAAACTCTATGACTCTTTCAATAAGTATTTTATTTGATAAAAGGCTTATATTGGTTGAAGAAGGATTTATAGAGCAATGACCATGTTTTCTACAGTATATCTATATGTGTATAGGTCCTGACCGCTAAATAAACAAAAGATCAATATAGAGAGATCAGGACATTGTAAAATGGTCCTAAAAACAACAAAAACTAAGATAAACGCCCTTAATAAATTCATTAGTGCCTCAGAGTTGTAAACTATAAAGATACACTGCAAAATTCAAAGACACACTACTTCTCCTTTCAACAATACCTATAATTTAGACTTAGAAAACTTTCAGTAGCAAAACAAGAAAAATTCAGATGCAAATTATTAATCATATATTTTCTTTCCTGGACTGGTCCAGTAAAACTCAATAAGACACACTGACT